AAAGTCTCATTGATTCAAATATTGTAATATTATTTAATGTGTACGTATTTTTTGTAATAGAATTTATTGTTATTAAATATTAATATAATATACATATGTATGTATGCACATAATACGACTATATGCACATAATGTCTTTACGTACCTTAAAATTGTCAGTATTCATTTAAAATTATACCAGTTTTTAAGCTCCTATTTTTCATCGTTGACAACTCATGTTATTTGTTACACTCGTACTACTAGCTAGATCTAATATTACATATAAATATATACAAAGAAAAAAAAAGGAAAAAAAATCGTGTTTCTTCTGTTTTGGCTCGTGCGGTTATTAGAGATGATGATAACACAGAAAATAAGTAAACGTGTCAAGATTTTTCAATGAATATGAAAAATCCAAGAAATAAGAATGAGGTACATATATATGTAAGTACGTACAAAACCTGTGTACAGTTTGTATTTTACTATCTTGTACTTTGTACGTGTTAAAATGAATTAAAAGCGATAAAAATTGAAATAAAGCACAATTCAGTTTTTAGAACAGGTAAGAATAAAAAAAATTTTCTTTTTTTATTTTCGTTTTGGACAAAGTATGATATTTATCGCCAGATAACTAAGCATTCAAAAACGTTCATTATAAAATAAAGTAAACATGTTTTTTTATTAAGTATTACTTTGGTTAGGTACAGTCAAGCTATAATAGCAAGTTAGTACTAAGGCATACAATGTAAGTAAAAATTGTAAAATTAAATGATTGAAGAACATTACCAAATTGGTATTTTTAGAGACGCCAGCTGTTAGTAAATCAAAAGGAGATAAATAATATTATTGATGCTAAAATTTTACAGTCTGCTTCAGTTCTTTTTAAGAGCTATAATTATTTAATAAGCAAGTTTAATAGGCAAGCTAGTTGCAATGAGATTAATTTAATATTAAATTAGACTACTATTGCAAGTTTTCAATTTTCAAAAATTGTTTTTGTTCTTCATTACAATATTAGGCAAATACAAACTACCAAGATTTTTAATTTCGTAAGTTACAACTAATTTTAATCGCGGTGCATACTAAGAGATTGTTAGCCCTTTAAATCACTTAAAATTATTAAAAATAGTATTAACAGCATTTGCAGTAAGTACAAGCTGAATAATAATTGTGAAAGCAAAACAATAATTTTAATAATTATTATTTATTAAATTCTCGATGTTAAAAAAAACTTTCCGAATTTTCGAATTATACCAAATACTATGGTAATCTAAGTATACAATTTCCTATACGTTTAACTTAGAAAATGTTACAATTAAAATTACTGAAATAATTTTCAAAATATTTTCTATCTCATTTTTGTTTTTTTTTTTGTTAAAAATAAAAGAATTTCAGGTATTTATATGTATACATAAATAAAATGTAAGGATGATATTATTATTTAGGGGGAAGAAAATTTAATATTTAAGGAACAGAATAGAAAAACATTAAAATAAACTCGCCTATGAAGTTCATAATTATGATAAGAATTATTAATGAAAAAATAATGGAAAACAATTTCTTTAGTTAAGGTGTAATAATTTCTGAAGTTGGTGACACATTATCTTTATGAATTTCTTCGTTTTTTTTTTTTTGGTGTTTGAATTTTAAATGAACAGGTTGTTAGATTGCACGTAAATGGTATAAAGTTTGTTAACCTTAACCGAATATTGAAAAAAAAGTGGGAAAATAAAATGTTATCTGATCTAAGAATACAAAATTTCAATTAGGTATATTTTCTAACGTGTTGCAGAATAAATGCGGAGATTTAAGAATAATTGAAACTTTAAAAGCTATATAAGTGTCTGTATATTTGTTTAATTGAGTCTATATATACTAGTATACTGGCGGAATATCGCGTCCTGTTTATCACGAATTTCACATTAACATTTAATATTATTATTTAACATGAATTTCTTTTATTTCATTGCCGAATTGTAATTTTAAAATAGCACTGGGGGAGAATTTGAAATATTAAAGAAGAAATATGAAAAGTCAAAGAGTGTCTCAAAGAATGAATAATACTGAAAAAATAAAATTAATATTATGACCTATGTATAGCTGTAATATATTTTTGTAATTGAAAATTTAAAATTTAATAAATTGCTCCTGTTCAATTTTTTGTATAACAAAAATACGTTACTAATACAATTACTAATATAAAGACTTTTTGTTTACGTTTTGTAAGTCATTGAAAAAATATTACCTGTAAAATAATATAGCAATATTTACTTTATGGCTTCCTTATATCGAATGATACTAACCTCATACAATTTAATGTATATATAGAAAACAGTATTATTTTATATGCCAATTTATACAGGACATAACAATATAAACACACATGGAAGTAAAAATAATTTTTTTATATAGAATTTAAGGTCTACACACCTATAACAAGTATTTTACCTTACACAGAAAACAGCATCAATAGATTTATTTTAAATTAAATATCTATAGGTGAGCGGTACAATAAAAAACAACGTAAGTTTAATTTACAAGTAGGAATGTATGTGTATAATAATATTCGGATATGTCAGTATATAATTTATATTTATTATTGTTATTACGGTACACGTGCAAATACTGAATATAATACAAATTTTTTTTGGTTTAAGCTATGCATGTTTGCATAATTGGTACTTAATGTGGCGAATATGAGTTTTACAAACATTAGCTTTTGAAGAAAAAGAAAAAAACAGAACAGTTATATTGACTTGAATTGTCTACAAATATAACTGATATAACAACACATATTCGCATGGTTTTATGTTTTAAATTTTTTCAATTTTTCAATCAATTTTAATCAACTCAATTTTAAAATCAATTCGAAAATTAATCAGAGAACGATAAAGTTGATTGTGATAACTTTGTGATAACCTATATACAAAGGGTTTTCTTAGTGTGATACAACTGACAAATGATTCATGCATCAAAACAACTTTTCTTCGAATATAATATACATGCCAATATAATAATATTGTTTCTATATCCCACAACCATCATTATTGTTACGTTAATTTTTTTTACGCCAAGAATTAAAGTAATTAAAATTCTACTTTTTATGTAAAAGAGAATTTTCTTCAGAAGATGTACTCCTAACTTCTCAGCTTTTACCGTAACATATGAAATTCCATAAAATATACGCATGAGTATTTGGCGTGTATGTATGTATGTAGGTGATTCTATTATTATATCTATATTTGATAATAATATAATGTGTGAATGTTGTTTTTGTTTAAATGTTATATACGAACCTCATTATTCCGAATTTATGGTGTGGAAAATATTAACACTCCAGTTATTTACTACAATAGTTATTTACAGTTATATTGAAGAAAAAATACACTAAGCAAACGGTAAATAAAATTTCATATTTTATAAATAATAAGTGGCACTGTTTGATAATAGATTTTGTTCTTCCTGTTTTTTTTTTTTTAACTTTTCGTCTAAAAAAAGGATAATACAAATATTATTTCATATTATTTATTCAATTTACTGATGCTTTAGGCTATTCTGAATTTAAAAATTTTATTTATTATTATTTTATTGCATCTAAATTAGTATTTAATAATTTTATTAATTTATTTGGGATTTTGAGGATTTTTAGTCTTAAAATATAATGTTGCTTATGTTTTTTATAAGCAATTATATTTTAAGAGTATATTATGTAAAATATTGTATGCGCAACTAAAACTCTACTATGGTATACCTCATTATTTTGAAATATCGTAAAAGTTATTATTTTTTATTTAAACGTTATTATTTCAGGCTGTCTGGTGATATTTCAAAATGCCACGAAAAACACTTATCTGCCTTTGTATTCTAAAAAATATACTTGAAAAATGAAAATTTTTGTTACACACTGATATAAAAATAAGATTTCAGAAAAAAAACTCATTTAATTTATGAAACATATTTTCATTTTTGAAATTTATATGCATAAACGAGAATAGGTGGAGTTTACCTTTGCCAACTTTGTGATACCCGTACAAATAAATGATTTTAACAGTTGCATCATAATTTTACAGTATACAGTTCTATTTTATACATATTGAAATAGTAGTCATATTATACATAGTAATTTTAGAACTGTAGTTTTGCTATAGTTTCTATAATATAGGTCCAAATGACTACTATAAAGTTGCATGAGAATTTCCACCACGACTCAAGAAATTTGAAGTAGTTTTATGAAATACACTCCAATAATATATTTGTTTGCACAAAAATTCCATATTGTAGCTTCAATAATTTCTGAGATGCAGCCGAATTACTATTGCAGTTGTAGGGCAGCTGCACGAACCGCTGCCTCGCTCACATCCAATTTAAATAGGGCTTCGACATTTACTATTATAAATGATTGGAAAAACTTTGATGAGCTTAGCTCGAGCTTTCGTTGGAACGGACAGACAGGGTTAAATCGAGAGAGAATTTGATCATAATCAAAAACATACACTTACGTCTACATCTTAAACTATTATTTCTTACATACTTTCGTGCTGGTATAAAAGGATATTTGATAAAATCAAATATTTTAGTTCTATGGCAAGTGCACGAAATAATTTTGTTATGATAGAAAAATGAGAACTTCTAAATAACGCGAAGTCATATATATCTGGTAACTGTTGCTAAAAACGCTGAAGTAAAAGAAAAGCAAAAATGTTCGATAATTTTTCTGGTTGTGGCGAATCTATGTACGTCATACAAATGAAATACTTATTGATTAATGCTTTATTAATTAGTCATATTCTACGACTAATTATTTTATTAGAAATTATTGATGTTTATACAGCCCCCATTTACCTTAAATGCTTTTTATGTTTCATTGAAAAAAAAAGTTTACTGGCAAATAATATTTTCATTTTTTACATTAAATTATAAGTTTTAAATTATCTTAAAGCTATTTAGAAATGCATGAAATTAAACTAAAAATTTCAATATTCAAATTGAATTTTAACAGGTTCTCTTTCACATATTTATTTCTAAACCAAAAAGTAGTGCTAGAAGAAAATAGAGACAAAAAATGTAAATATTTGTTATACCAATTGTTATAAAAAATTCTATAATTACCACAGGATCAGCTTTCTTCCAACATTGATGGAACCACCATGCTTTCTGACACAAAGTATCACCTTCCGGATGGATACATTTTTCAGTCATCTTCAATGCAATATCTTTTAAATTATCTGGAATTTTTTTATATAATTTTTCTAAGTGAACATCACCATTAGCATCGACTACTTGAATCTCATGAAATAAACAATTCATATAACATTTAAGAGCTGGGTCTTCATGTATTTCACCATCACTAAATTCCTTAATAGCTTCTACAAAAACAAATTAAAAGTAAATTTTTGTTGACTTAAAGAAAAAATATTTTATTTTTTTTAGTCAAATAAACTGTACTGGTTTGATGCCCCTTAAAGTATGCAAATTTCGGAATAACAGTTGTTAATAATTATTTAATGAGAATTATTATAGCATTCTACCTTTTCGCTCAAAAGTTCAAAAAAAGTTCATGGGTAAAGTCAGTTTACTAAACTGCATATTAGACTTCATATCCTTCATTGACTAATCATTTTTGTGACTACTTCGGAAACACTTATTATATGAATTTCACTTCAAAATCAACTCACCTTCTGTAACTCCTGTTTTTTCAACACAAGTTTTATGTACAGGTTCTAACATTTTTAATATATCAGGTGGTGGATACTGGAAGAAAAAAATTAAAAAAAATATGCAAAAATTGTATTTTTTACAATTGAACCAAAACTTATTAAACTCAATCTCAGTCTTCTTTTTTTTTTTTTCCACATCGTAATTAACTTACATCGTCGTCTCTTCGAGGAACAGTTTTATCACCCATTGAACAAGCGATTATTGTCAATAATAATAAAATTGTAATTTTATTTGCAAGTATTTTTATTGATTCCATCATTTTTTATTGAAATTTTTAACAATATAAATGAATAATTCTGGTAAAAAAATGTCCAGAACCTGTCACACTGAGTTATATTTTTCAATTGTGAAACTTTTATTGTTGTAATGACATTTTATAATTGTTTTTAATTTTTATGCGGCTCAATTTTCAATTGTCATGTCATTTTATTTTTTTTCATTTTTTTTTCGATTGTTCACCGTTATATGTAATTATTTAACGTTCTTGGTTGCAAAAAAAAAATGCACAATTTTAATTGACTAAATCAAAATTTACATGTTAGTCTAAATTTTGTCCGTCTATTTATGTTGAATATGTCAAAGTAGAATACTAGTAAATGTAATGCGTGCAATTTGACTTAATTAAAAGTCATGGAAAGAGAAAAAGCTTTAATTGTAAATTTTATTATAAAGAATAAAGAATGGGAATAATGAAATGTGCTTAGCAAAATTAAGTTTCTTTCATTTTTAAGTTGTTTTTGTGCGCCATATTTGCATATATCTGCTGAAACAAAAATCTCATTAATATGAGTTTTATTTACATTATTCGTTTCTTTTCGAGTGAATCTTATAAAATATTATGCTTTGAACAGCTCTTATTTTTGTTTACTGCCTTATTTTGAAAAACAAAAATAAAAACAGTAATAAAAATATTTAATTGTAGAGGCGTATTTATGTATTATTAACTTCAAACCTTAAATCAGAGGGATAGAATTGAAATATGATTACTTAATCAAAATCGGAATTGCACTCTTTTTGAATTTTAACCCTTTTATTATTGAGTTGTAGTATAATATTATTGTACTACACAATATCTCATATGTATAATTATAAATTTTTCTATAGAAGTGTAGTTAGTTTTTCACTCATTATTTAATCTACGTATATTCGCGTAGATTTTATTTTCAGATTTGAAATTACTTTTATACATTCTATGTTATGTAGTTACAATAATTGTTTTATATTTAAGAGAAATTTAAAATTAAGTATCCACTAGATTAAATTTTTTAATTCAAATGAATGCGTTGCTACCAACAAAATTTAAGTGAAGCTTCTTCTGCTACCTGACATTTAAGTCTATGATTAATCAACAAAACTCATTAACATCATTATGTAACTGTAAATTGTTTTCGTTACCTGTAATAAAAATCAAGTTTAACTTCGCTAATAAAATTTTCTAAGCAAATTCAAGTATACTTGTAGAGCCGTATTAACAGATAAAGGTGCTACTCCACCAACTGTAAACACTGTTTTCTTTTGAGCTTTTATTAGCATAACTAAAATCATTTTCCGAGATCTCAAATCTAAATTGTACCATTCAATTTCATAAATAATATCAACACATCTGTCAGTCTATATAAAATTAATATAAATTCATAAAAAAAAATCTAATAATTATTTAAAAACTGAATTTTAAAGTTAGTTTTACTAACAGCATTATCAAGTGCCGTTCCCAGAAAACAATATATATAAAGTGCATTGAAATTTAATACAAAATATGGATATGCAGCGGGCCAATTTCCAGTTATTATTATGTAAACACTGAATATAGCACTAACAGCGCAGAAGAAAACTTCCAAAGTAACAATCATAAATGTTACATTTATGATTAGATCACTAAAACTAAAAAAAAATATTTAATAACTACCTTGATTAAGAACTTTTCTAATATTCATATGAGACAGTATTTTTACTACTTACTTGAAACATTCTTGAGTCCATTTGATCACATCTTTGAAATGTTCATTAACGATGTTTTTTATTTTATTATTATGTAAATTTAATAGATCATTTAATTCATTAATCTTTTGTTCTAAAATGTCATAGAAAGACAAAATAGTTAACACATTCAATATAAAAAATGTATCGCCAGCAATATTTCCGAAAACTCCAAAAAATATACAAGTGGATTGAATTGCATACAAAGCTGTATATCCAAAATCGGTATTGGGATCGATTTTGGGTATTAAAAATTGAATCATTAAAATTTGTTCATTTTTGAAAATTTTGTAATATACAGGAATAAGAAAAATTGATAAACCAGTCATTAGCCAAGCTATCATATTGAAAATTATTGTAATTTTTATGCGTTTCATTGATTTTTCCAAAATTTTTCTAAATTTATTATTAACATTTTCGTAATATTCGAAAACTTTGAAAACTCTATTCTGTATTCTGCGAAGCTCCTTTTGTTTAAGAAAAGCAGTAATAAATTTTGTGGTTCCCTAAAATTTAAACTAATAAATAAAATAACATTTTATAAGAATTCAAATAAAACCTGTAAAGCTCCTCCTGCTAAACATAAAGTTTCAATAATAATTTTCCAATCTTCGTGAAATTTTACGTAAATTGTGTAAAAAGCGAAAATAAAAAATGTAACAATTGAAAGCCACATGAAAACTGTTATAATGTTAATCCCATAATTCGGATCAAATACATCAGCCCCACAAAGTTTTGCCATTTTTCTTATTATCTTATACAATGATTTCATTTCAAAAAATGGTGATATTGCAATTTTCCTATTCATAATTCTTTCAATTTTTAAATTCAAATCGATTAGATGAAGCGTAAAAGAAGAACTAAGATTTCGTTAAATTCTACTTCCGTATGATGTATGAACTTCGTAATAATTGAGTCAGTGAAGAGTTATTAATTAAAATGTACTATTTAGATAGTGGAAAAGTTTATGGCTTTCTTATATTTTAAATGTAAAATTTATGAATTCAAATAATATGATAAAATGCTTATAAATAATTACGAACTATAATCGATGGAAAATCAATTTCAATTACATACAATTTCCTAAAAAATTTTAAAATAAAAGGTTTATACAGTAAAACACGGTTAAGTGAATCACGCTTAAGTGGATTTCTCGCTTAATTGCATCAAATTTTCGTGGCTTGTACTTTTTTCGATTTTTTCATATAAAAAAATTCGTTTAAGTGGAATTCGGATAAGTGCACAACACGCTTATCTGCACATATATTTTTTCCCTCATGTAATACTTAATATGTAAATTTATTCGGTTAACTGCACATCCCTGTTTTTATTTAGCATAAATGTCAAAAATGAAAAACTACACTCTCAACTACAAAATAAGAAAAGCAACACTATGTAGCTACCCAAAATATTTTAGTTTCTGTCATTGTCAAATTTTGAGTGTTGATTTCGATACCAGAAAAAGTATTTACTGAGATTGTAGCATGTGATGACAATCTAGAATGTTACGGTGATTGGACCGACATAGAAATTATAAATGAAGTTCGTTCAAATTTAATAGAAACTAATGAGGAAAACGATGAAGAACTAAATTTTGTGGAAAATTCTGAACCTCCTTCTAAAGTTCTCAAAAAAGATGCTATAATAGCTCTTTCAACACTTAAACTTTATTTAGAACAAAATAATTTTGAAGATGAATCTAATATGCAGAGTATTGAAAATCTTGAGAAAGCATTTTTACAAACGTTAAAAACAAAAACCCAAGCAAAAATCATAAAATTATTTTGTGAATAAAAAAAGTTTGTAAGTTGTCAATATTATGTATGTTTTCTATTAAGGGAAATTAATTTACCATTGCTATTATTATTTTTATAATGAAGTTAAATGTGCAATTTTTTAATTTTTTGTTGATTTTGAAATTAAATTTTAATTTTTAACTTATAATTAGAACCAGTTTTTAATAAATTCAATTCTTTGACATCGGAGGTAATTTTTTAAGTCGAATTCGTATAAGTGGAAAACACGCTTTAGTGGACAAAATTTTCTTGGCTGATCGATTTCCACTTAACCGTGTTTTACTGTAATTGTTTTCTGAATAAATACAGTGTTTATATTTGGGTTTCATTTCCTTTCCATTCTTCCAATGAAAAAAGAGATAGTATCACTGATTTTAAATATTTATGTACTTTTTCATATTTTATTTAATTGTTTAATAATAATTACGAATAGGTTAAAAATTTATTAGTATGGATTTTATGTCAATTTTAGATTTTCCATTTTAAAGAACAGGAAAGCTGTAAGCCGAGTACAAATTTCTACATACAGAATGTTTTCGTTTTAAAAGCAATGCGAAAATAATGATGCATAGACTCTTATGGGTACAGAAAAAATTTTTTTATGGAGCCTATGCTGTATTTCATTTATTAATAATAGAGCTCCAATTCATTTATTTTTCCAAATAAATTATTAGATTTTTATATATCCAATTATTAGATTTTTTTTCATCGCCCGTATTTTCAAATAAACAAATGGTGGCCGTATTTCTGTGCTCGTTTATAGAAAATTTGAATACTAAAGGCTTAATTGCTTCCGGAATAAGGCAAAAAAGTTATTAAAGTTTTATGGCAGCCTGAGGTCCACTGCTTTGATGAAATCCAAATTAAATAGGGTTCTCTCGACAACCAAACTTAAATAGTTAACGCTGGGGCAGACTCGGAATTCCAAAGAACTCGATACCTCACATTATTTTTTTGCAGCATTAAAAACGGAACGGTCAATTATTTACAATGCCATTCAAATATTCTTTTGTACGGATATAACCAATATATTGTATGAGAATAATATGTGTAAATTTTACCATAAAGTATAATACATATTATGTATACACATATTGCAAAATTTAAAAATTTATAAGGAATCAATTAAATAAACTATATTGTATAAGTGGAGAATTTAAAACTCAAAAGCTTTTTGTAAATTTTTTAAAAAATTGTGGATACCTAATAAAAATAAAGAATAAAAATTTGTATTGCCGATATTTGAAATGCTCTTTGACAAACAAAATTTGAAAAAAGTGCAAGACAAACATCTACAATATCGAAGAGAGAAAGCTGAAATTTCACACATAAATATAATTTTACTAGAAATTCCCTTCTGTAGAAGAAAATATTATTCATCTCAATCGCCTCTAAAAGTTATAGCGCCTCAAAGACCTTAAAATGCTATTTTTTGATTAGTTATTATTTCAAAAGAACAAACATTTTTTAAATTTTAAATTTTTTAAAAATTTTAAATAAACGCAGATAAGTAGTGGCTGGCATTTTTCATCGTGGCATAGCACAGTTGAGTATGCAATTGACAAAGTGGTCATTGAAATTAGACGCTATTTGAATCTCATTTTTTTCAAAATTTTGATATCGTTTTTCTGCTAGAGATTTAGCAGCTCTAAGATATTAGTAAATAGTTTATTTTGTTAGAAATTATTTTTATTTTTATTTCAACAAAATGGGTTGATTAATTCTCCTTATATACGCAAAAAACGTCCAGTTCCCGGGTGTGATATATCCCAAAAGTTGATCAATCCATGCCATAGTCGAAATAAACTTACACATAAAATTTCATCAAAATTATTTCAGCCGAACTTGGGAAACACGCGTGCACAAACAGACCGACAGGTTGCTAAAAATAGTTTATTTACACTTCCTTACTATGGAGAAGTACGTTTCCACCGAAAACTCGATATTCAAAATTTGTTGCCATCACATCACCTCCCTTATTGTATGCAATTGCGGTCGGTAACAAACACATGTTAATATTAAGAAAGACATAGGTCAGATTTTTGTAAAGACGTTAGTTGTACTACTATATGACAAAAATGCCAGAACTGCGGCCAGACTTCTATTTTAAATAAAATAAATAGATAAGATAGAGTAGAAATATAATCTTCAAAGTTTTCAACGTTAGTAAAATAGAAAAAGAGCAATTAAAAGTTTTCCTCTTGTTCATATGAAATATCAAAACTATGACATTTATTACAACTTTTTGTATGCTACACGTGGGTTAGGACTCTTCATTTCTTCTCAAAAAATAACAGTATAAATTTTTAATTGAAATTCAAAAAAATTTTCTTAATATTTTACCATAATTACATTACAATTATTTTTAAACTTTAATAATTAACTTGAATTAAATCATTTTCATTCCTGCGCTGTAATAAGTGTTTACGTGTGTTGTTTCTTTGTAAGTGCTTCACTGAGTAGTGAATTAGGGTTTTTATTACGCATTCCTAGAACTTCAATGAAATTGTTATTCAAGTGGTTACACCATTCTAAAATAAAAATACTTTTGCAATTAAATTAATATTTTCGGTATAATAATGAATATTACAACCAACCCGATTGCATAGTCTTATTCAACAAAATTCATTAACATCATAAAAAAGCTATAAATTGTTTTTGTTACCTACAAGTTTAATTAATTTGAAAATTTTTTTCTATTCATAAAATGAAAGTAATCCATATTTACTTGTAAAGCTGTGTTAACAGATAATGGTGCCACCCCGCCAACTGTAAAAGCGGTTTTCTTTTGAGCTTTCATTAGCACCAGTAAAATCATTTTTCGAGATTTCAAATCTAAATTATACCATTCCATGTCATAAATAATATCAATACACTTGTCAGCCTACAAAAATAATAAATTTACAAAACTGATATAAAATTACAGTTGATTTCAATGAATAGTAGCTTACCGCATTATCAACTGCAGTTCCCAAAAAGCAATATATATAAAGTGCAATGAAATTAAGTACAAAATATGGATATGCAGCTGGCCAATTCCCAGTCATTATTATATATACACTAAAAATTGCGCTAACTCCACAAAAGAACACCTCCATACTTACCATAACAAAAGTAATACTAATGAATTGTTCACTAAAACTAAAAAAAAAATTATTTCTTTAAGCAACTAAATTTTTTATGCTGTTTTTCATGATTACTCAAAAGTTTCTTGAGTCCATTTGATTATATCACGAAAAACTATATTCTTAACCTTTTTGTCCTTAATATGTGTATTAAGCAATTGGTTAAATTTTTTAATTTTCTCCTCTAAAATTTCGTAAAATACCAAAATTATTAAAACGTTTAATATAAAGTACGTATCTCCAGCCATATTTCCAAAAAGACCAAAAAATATACAAGTAGATTGAATTGCATACAAAGCTGCATAACCAAAATCAGTACTGGGATCGATTTTGGGTATTAAAAATTGTATCAAAAGTATTTGTTCATTTTTAAAAATTTTATAATATACAGGAATGCAAACAGCGTATATACCAGCAACCAGCCAGGCTACATTATTAAAAATTATAGTATATTTAATACGTTTCATTGACTCCTGTAAAATCATTCGGAAATTTACATTATTAGTTTCGTAGTATTCATAAACCTCATAAATTTTATCTTTTAATTGACGTATTTGTTTTTGTTTCATGAATACTGTAAAAAACTTTGCAGTTCCCTACAAAATACATAAACATAAATATGAATATTGAAATAATGGTAATTTTTAAAATTATTTAAAGATAAACCTGTAAAGCTCCCCCAGCTAAACATAGAGTTTCAAAGATAATTTTCCAATCTTCGTGAAATTTTATGCATATTGTATAAAAGGCAAATATAAAAAACGTAGCGATTGAAAGCCACATAAAAACTGTTATGATATTAATTCTATAACTGGGAACAAATACATCAGCTCCGCAAACTCTAGCCGCTTTTCTAATAACTTTGTATAAGGATTTCATGTCCGAAAATGGAGATATCTCATTTTTCATTTTGTAATATTTTTGTTCAACAATCAAATGTTTACAATATGGGGTAGGTACGTCTGAATAGTTTGAAGATGAAATTTGTACTGAAATCAAATGAAATGAATATGAAAAGAAATTACATGTAAAACATATAAAGTACAATTTCGACATTCAAAAATGGAGTGCTACAAACTTTAGTACCCATTTAGTAATGGAAACGAGTTGTAATATTTTCTTTAGTACTTACAAATAAATTATATTTCATATCTGTCGGACATTGTATACGGAAATTTGGAGAAGATATTAAATGAATCGATATTTACTGACAAAAAAGTTTTGCACTGGGGAAGTTTTCTTTTAACATTTTTTATACATATGTGCCAAAAGACCTATAGTTATAACTTACAATATATTCTTACATTTTATTTAAATGAAATTTATTACATAATATATACATATTTTTATAATACTTTTTAGAACAAATTGGAAAAGAGAACCAAGTTACACCACTGATATTGATTTACGAGAGCCAAAATTCTATTTTTTCAAATGTATTTGAAGTGTCTTTTAATTTTTTATAAATTTCCTATTCGCTGCTTGCAATAGGTACAGAAGATTATTTAATTAAAAATTGATTAGGTATTTAAAAAGTTTAATATTCACTTTAATTGTTATAGATTTTATGTCAAATTCTTCAAAGCATGCATTATATTCAGTTGCCCTTGAAAATATGTAGTTTCTTGTTAATTAACGTAATTGGATAAATTCCAGTTCCAAAGAATATTGCTTGGTAGTTGTTTTAATGCGAATTAGTAAATTTGTTATTCTCTCATATCTAATATAGTTGGGCTTATCAATGGTTTGTTAGTAGCACTTTGTTCTGGAGAAAATTAAAATAATATAAATTATGCATAAATAATATAATTTTAAATTATTGGATCTGTGCATTTATGTTAACATTTGTGCATAAATGCTCGAATTTAAGAGTTAACTACTGGAGTTAAGATAAATGATTATATTTTTTGACGGTGTGGCATTTACCGCTAGCTGAATTTCCTGCATTTAGACATTTGGAAAAACGTTGGAGTTCTGGAAATATAATTTGTCAAATATTCAAATTTTATATATGTAAGTAGTGATAACTTAAAACAGGATGAAGGTGAAAAAACAAATCTTCTCGCAACGAAATAAACTATCTGTTAGCATCTTAAAGCTGCAAATTTCTGCAATTTACGGTCTAAAAGGAAAACGATATCAAAAATTTGGACAAAACGGATTTTAGATAGTGGTGAATTTTAACAGCTATTTTGTTTCTAAAAGTACAAATAGTGTATGTCGCGATGGTAAAAGTCAAGCGCTTTTCAGCGTTTGCACAATTTAGAAAATATCTTTGGTTTCGCCACAAAAAATGTTTTTTTTTAGGTAAAACTTTCCTTCTACGGAAACAAGTTTCTTGTAAAGATATTAAAAGTTGTAGAAGATTAGTAAATAAATTCTCGGACGAACGGAAAGAGTGGAACTAATAGACTCTGTTTCCAAAAAAATTTTGAGGAAAAGTGCTGAAAATGACTGACTTATTGTTGTTTTTAATGAAAATAAAATACGAGATAAAAAACCTACATATGTAAAAATTAAGTTATTTCACAATATAATTGAATTATTAGAAATAATTATTCGTTACAACTTTAACTGCTGCCATTCAAATATTCAACAGAATAAAACCAAGAAAAATTAGTATTTATACGCGAATGCCCCATTTAATTGAACAGTAGTATACAAGTATTAATTTTTTAATAACGGTGTATGTAAAAAATACGCCCATGCAATTATAATAAAGTTGCAAGTCAAAATTTATGCTTGAGTAAAATTTGAAAGATGCATCTTGTTATAAAGATAGAAGAATTACTAATTTACATAATGGTAAGATCATCTGTATGACAAATTCTTCATGGACAAAGTCATAAATGGTATTAAGATTGACTCGTAATACAAGTAACCTTTAAAAACCTTTTATGTTTTTAATCTTTATCTTACATGATGTTCGTAATATGTTAATTAACAATCGATAATTATATTTTATCGGACATATTTTGCTTTGCTGCTTTTTGGTTAATTATTATAATTGGAAATTATTTAGGGGATATTTTTCGAAGTATTCTGAAAGAAAAAAAAATTCGAAGTACGTCATTCTGATTAAAATATTTATTTTTTAATTTTTAAGTATCCTCACTCAAGCCATATAGATTATTATTCTTTTTTGTTTTTCCTAACTAACAAAATTTATTTAGTGAAAAATAATTATATTAGTTGCTCTGAAATTATATCAGTTTTCTCCGTAACTCAAGCACCTTTCATTTGGAGAATAGGGAAAATTGGGTGAAATAAAATGCAGAATCAACGGAGTTAAAAGTATTGGTCAATTTCCTTCGCACAAAAAATTTCCCACAACATTTGTAATTTTAATACAAATTTGAAAATTACTTACGATTTGCTCACTGAACTTGTTGGTCTGAGAAATATTATTTGGCATTATTTTTGACTATACAATATAAAAATTAACAGACTATGTGAATGTCAAATACAATTTCGAAAAAAATTTTTTCGAAGTACTTATAAGAACAGAAAAACTTTAGCTTTTCTAAAGCTTGAAATATGTGCATAAGATTGTTTAATGAGAGATATTTGAATAATCTGCTGTAAAAGTTTGCAGTGTAGTTACAGATTACAGGTTTGTCATATTGATAGCAATTATTGACAATCAATGTGAATTAAATTTTGTGAAATAATATTTCAAAACTTTATTTAATTTCAACTTTAAGATTTTAACTATAACTCCTCTTCTGTATTTCCAAAAATGTACGAAACTTTAATATTTTCAGGCACATACCTTATAAATGAACTTTTAAAAAAATTCAGTAACATGAATACCTTTTTATAAAATTTTCATATTCATTCATTTTGTAAAACACTATTTTCTAAGTATTATGTATATTTATGCAAGTCCGAATTACAAGAAAACAAAATTGAATTTCCATTTATACACCTTAAATATAAGGGTAAAAATTACATTTGAGATGTTAGTTCTACTATCATGCTAGCATAAAATTTTATTTTAATTGCCTTTTTATTTCAAATTTAAATAAAATAAAGTGTTTCGAAAATTTAAGGTTTTTAAAAGAGCCGAAAAAATATTTTAATTTTTTTTATACTTTTATAGAAAGATTTTGCTATCAAAAAATGTTATGGAGAATGCGAGTTTTTTGGGGACAATTACTGATAATGATAATGATTGCACATGATATATAATTATTACTCGTATGTTGGATATTGTTATGAAAAACAAAACAAGTTTTTTCAGAATTTTTGGAAAATAATGTTTAATAAGTTACTATTGGTATAAATTGAATTAATTGAATTAATGATTAATAGTTCTTGTACTTCACTCAAGGAAAATTTATTTAAGGAAACTGACAGCAAGTTAAACCTACTTTTAAATTGAAAATATTGCAATTTTATTTTTTGTATTTTTTCCTTTTCAGTATTTCGAATATAATGGTAATACGTAAAAGGTGAAAATAAAATAAAAGTTGAATTTAACCTGAAATTGTGAAAATTCATTTATGCAAAATACCTAAAAAATTTTCCTATTTTATTTTGCATTTTTATTATTTTACCACGAAAATTCTCTGAATTAAACAAAAAATTTAAAAAAAAAAATGAGAATTTCAAGTGTCTTTTTTAACCATAGCTATTTTAGAAGATCTTTTGAATATTCAAAGCGAATTTTTATTTCATAAAACCTAAAAATAAAAGACGAAAAACGAAATTGCGAAAAACAGATAACAAAAAACAAAAAAAAAAAATCAAAACAAAATGCAAAACTTTTGTTACTGTAAAACTAGGAAAATTTTTAAATAAATGAATCCTTTTCATGTATTGATACTGGTGATCCTTTAAAAAAGGACAATACAATTTATGAAACATTTTTCGTTTCGTTTAATTTTTCGCTTTTTATATTATTTTTTTTTGTGTGGATTTTGTAGAAAAAATAAAAAATGGTGCTTTATTAAATAAACATTTGAATTAGCATTGAAAATCGGAAGGATTTTTTATTATTGTTTTTTTTTTTTTTTTGCAGAAATTTAATTGCATTTCAAAACTTTTTTGTTTTGTTTAATTTGCGAAAAGTACCGAATTGTAAAAATTTTACTATTGTACATTATATTATAAAGAGAGAAAGAGAGGAAAAAGAAAGGTTGTTGCTTTTCTAACCTTTTGAATGTTAATTTTTTTTACCTTAATATTATTTTTGTTTTTGGAAAAATTTCAGTAATGAATAATTTTGTATTACAGGTATGTATGCATATTTCATATATGTTTATAATATTCTACCTTTGTTTTGCTAATGTGTATTGTATGTGTCATAATATTTTTGTTGTTTTTATTCAAAATCATTGCTATTAGAATTTTAATTTCTCTAATTATACGAGATTTTTTTGGTTACAAAAATTTTACTTATTTCTTTTCATCACATAAACGTTCTTATTATTATTATACTTTTATTAAAATATTTGCATACATATAAATTTCAAAGTATAAATTATAATAGTAATACTCTTGAATTTTAGTGAGAATTTATGAATTCATAATGACCTTACATTTTAAAAACAATACATCAAATAACAATCATACATTTTATTTTATTGCTATGTATGATTTAAATTAAATTTTCAAGGAATATTTTTGTTCTGAATTTTATTATAATAAAATGGAGAATTTTTGATTGAATCTGCTTGTTTATAATATTAAAATATGAGAATACAAGGTGTTTATTCTATAATTTTTCATTTCACTGTCACAATACAGAAAAATTACAATTTGCGGATTTCAATGTAGATAACTACTTGCGTAAAAATTGAAGAGGCAAGTGGACAAAGGGGTTAACTAAAATTTTGACGAAAATCGAACTTTTCGGGTAGAACGTCATTAAATTCTATATATTTTCAACTGTTTCAAGCTAGAAATTTAATAGGCGACGAGATTGACAGTGCACATAGGAGATAAGTAACAAAAATAGTTTTACAATTTGTTAATGAAAAAATGT